AATATATTTAGATGGATACATAATTACATATACTCGTATGTACACTTCCTCATGCCTCCTCTCATGTTTGTTTACTTTGCAATTTTTTATATAAAAACAAATTCTTATATATTTTCGACATAACCTCATTTTGTCTTAATGTTCAATAATATTTTGGTGTTTTTATTGTTGCCATTTTGCTGGTTTCATTCTCTAAGTTTATCCTTAACGACATTACGGCTTTAATCCTGCAAAGTATGTTTACATATTTGAAGATGGAAAAAATATAATTCTATTCTATTCTATTCTATTCTGTTCTGTTCTGCTGTGCTCTGTTTTGCTCAGTCTTCTTTTGTGGGGTGCTGAAGTTTCTTCCATTGCTTGCCGCTTTTCGGTCTTCGGTCTTCAGCCTTGTTGAGCTGTTTATCATATTTACTAATATATTTTGGGGTTTTAGTGGCTTGAGTTGCGAAAAAATTAGCTGAAAAGCACGTGCTACATTTCTGTGTCTCACAACATTTTTTTCTTCTTTTTCCATTACTTTTTTATTTATAATTTTTTGGATGAAAATTGCGTGTTTTACTGCAATTTGGCGTAAATTCACATTTTTAGAAATATTTAAAGTTTTTCGATTGTACCGATGTCGGAAAAATTATTAATTGCGGTACTAAGGACTGTTTCCGTATTAACCTAATTGAGCTGACATAATTACGTGATGAAGTATGTAGCCGATATATTACAAAACATTCTGAAAAATTAGTTAACTCATGAAATACGTTATTTCCAATGATAAAATGTATATACATAGTAAAAGAAAATTACAGTTGCTCTTCTATACCATCAGTACAATCAGTACCATCAGTGTTGTGGTATTGGAAACAATTTTTTAACACATTATGAAAACAGGTAAGAAAGAAAACATTAGTATTAAGTTTCACAAGAAATTCAACAAACACAGTGAGTCGTGAACTAAGAAGTACCATTAAATCCATGGTACATATACGATGTGTACATTCACAGAAATATGAACACATATGAAATAGTCTTAATAAAAACAAAAAATGTGGCAAGTTCTCAGTCGACAAACTAACAACATCCCTCTCTGCTCTCTGTAGCAGCTCTGAACTATAGATCGCAGGATAATAACCTTTCATGCTCTATAAAATTTTTATCGACACATTTACAAGCATGGAGTATGGATCTAAAAATATATACATATACCATACACAGTGGTAACTCGTTTTGTGTAGATAATCGATACCTACACACTTAGATATTTGCAACATAAGATATTTCCACATAACCTATTCAATGCTTCCGTCATCCAAAAATTTTCAACTCAATTTTAGCAACTTTTCTTGGCTAGTTTTTGAATGATTTTTCTTCTATGTTGTCTTAGACGAAATAAAATTCGTCACTAACTTTATACTGCTGAGAAAAATAACTAAATTAAATGAGTTTCGAACTAAATTAACACTCATTCTACCATATAATCGTGCAAATAATTCCTGAACTCAATTTATCACCTACTTTTTAGTGGTTTATGGCGTGGTTTCCCTACGAGAGAATATCAGCATTAGAATAGGCGAACCCAATCAAGGTTTGCATGATAATCCAGAGGCATGGATTATATGCGACACTTAACAAGTAAATCTGCTCAAAAGAAACCGAAATTGTAAAATAAATTAGTTTTACACAAATTAAACAAATAATTTTAGAAGTTTTCTGCAATTATATATTTAATATGAGAAACTTGATTCTTAGAGATACATGGAAAACGAAACAATAAATAATAGGTGTAAACAAGGTACTTGTGAAAACCTCGAAATTTGCACTGAGTCTTGTTTCCATTACATGTGAGAATCGAGTTACTTAAAAAAAAAAATACGAGAAAAAGTGTATATTCTAACACCAAAAAATAATAATATTAAAAAAAAAAACAATAATATTGAACACTTGTTTTACTAATCAGAGATTTTTCAATTTTTAGTTGACATTTTCTATGGATACATTGTTACTCAAGTAGTAGTCTTCAAGGAAACTGTTAACACTCTTTGAACCGCGAATTTATATCAAAACTGTTCAGCATTTGAAACGTGGGGGCTTAATATAAATACTGAGACACCACAGAAAAAGATAGTCGCCAGAAGATATAAACAAAATTAAATCAAACGAATTACATTCAATAACAGGCTGGACGGTGGAGCAACTTTTTGAACAAAAAGCGACCAGAAAAATGTTTTGTTTTCATCCACTATATGCTAAATAACGTGAAAAAGGTCAGAAATCAAAAAGAACTACAATCAAAAGAACACGCGGACTACGCATTAACTGCCCTACGTGTTGCCTGTCTAATTCTCTGAATCTCCAATCATCATCATTCTCATAACTACCTTGTTTTAACAGATGAGCCCTCATTTCTATAAAAATAATGTTTAAAATAATAATTTAAAATTAATCATCGATCAAAAAGTTAACTTCATGATTATGAAATACAAGTTTTTGTCTTTATAAGGGCCAGCTATCATATCTACAAATATACCAACTGTTACATTTTTACCTAGTCCAATAATATTTAATAAAAATTCATTGGATACATTTTTCAGGCATTAACAATAAGTACATAATTAAACACATTTATAAAACTTCATAAGCAGACAAATTTTTCAATCTATTATTCCCGCATTAATCGTAATAATCAGTCAAGTCTCTAATTCTGTCATATATCAATATTAACATTTAATAGCACATCTCGTAATCACCCACATTGGAATATAAATACATTTATATTACTTCTCACCTACAATTTAGATAAGTACTCTTATATAGCACTTCAGTCGATTATAGAAGTACGATTCAGTTAAATACGACATAATCCAAAAATCTAGAAAACAAAAGGTAAGGAACATATTAGGTTGCAAAAATACCTCGAGTTAAGAAAGAGCAAGTGCACTGGCTCAAATAGTAATAAATAAATAATATTGGTAACGGCGTCGCAATATAGTATATATCTATATATATAAACTTATACGGAATATATAGATATAAAAGAAATCAGTATTTAATTCGGTTAAATATTGTTTATTTAAATAAAAATAAGGATGACTTGGTAGGGAAAAATAAATTGCTTATTCTTCACCTTTCACTAGTATCCAACTAATTGTGCAATTGGGTTATATGAGATGAGACGTTCCGAATTTTTTTCCTTTTCACTCAGCTACATTATCATTAGTGTTCGAGTTAACTAAACTCTTCGAGAACTGCAATTCCTTCAGTGCCCTGCAATTTATTATCAATTAAATGAACCTACAAAGAGCGTATTTGCAGGCTGCAGCCAATACAGTTCGACTGAGGTCTTACATTAGAAAAGTTTAGTTAACTTAACTATTATGAATATAATTGAGGTATCTCTTATTTGTTGTACGTTTTACATACAAGCTTCGGACATCCCCTCTTTGTTGTTTTTACTACGCACAGTCCACACATTCGAACTGCAAAGAAACGTCGACGACATCGGTTTGATAGAGTAATACCATATACATGGAGTTTATATCTCTAGTGACGCCCCGTTCACATTGCTTACAACGAAAGAAAGATAGAAGAAAAATAAAAAAGAATTATTGAGAAATTCCGATTTTTTGTCCTTCAATTAGTATTCAGCAAAGGCAAGACTACAAGTCAAAAATAAGAGGAGCGAGCAAGTCTTCTTTGACTTTAACTGATTCTGATTAAAAATAGGTTAAAATAAACTTTTTGATTTGATTTTTTACATTAAAATTATTTATAAGGAAATTCTAAGAGCGAAGCAACAATATATGCCACCGATCACCTACCGCCAACCCCATAGCAACACAACCCATAAACACCAAGTGTTGGGCAGAGGGAATAGGAGCATTCCTCAGAGGTAGCAGATGTCAACTCAAAATAGTGCGGAATACAGTAGTGGCGAATATTGTTGCATGCAAAACAAACTGTGGCATATAATTTAAATTATTTGCATTTCCTAAAAGTATCGTCAGAAGACAAATGGATAGTTTGGATTTTTGATAAAATCACAAAAAAATTTTCTTCAAATTAAATATCTCCAAAATTGATCTCTTCCAAAAACATTTCATTTCTTCAGAATTTACTAGAAAAACCAAACTGAATCAAGGCTCGAAAGAACAACAGACGTAGCTGTGGCTGTGACTGTGACTTTGATTTGGTTTTATTTTTGATTTTTGCTTTTGTTTTTGTTCTTGTTTTGTCGCAGTCGTGATCGGCAGTAAACCAAACTGCTTTGGCACTGCTGCTTTGGTTCAAAGCAAGTATCAAATTATTTTGCTTTGCTCACCTACACCCCTCAGCGAGCGGCAATGTGTGTGCATATGAAAATAAAGCAGAAATAAATTTCCATTTTTTTCTCAAAATATGTACACATACACATTTTCTGTGAGATCAAATATGCTTCTACTTGCTTGCAGTTGGTGTTGTGTTGTTGTTATTGTTGTTATTATTATTGTTTTGATTTGATTTGTTTTGTTGTTGCTGCCTTCACAGTGATTTGCTTATTTGGGTTATTATTTTATTTGCTATTGTTGTAGTTGTTGTTGTTAGATGTCGCTTTTGCTGCTATGGCTGCTGCTGCCACTGTTGGAACCACTATGCATGTTGTCGCTATAATTTGGTGTTTCTTAAGCCATGTTGAGCCGTTTTGCATCTTTCTTGATAAAATTGAATTCACTTTTTGTTGTTGTTATTGTTGTTATTGTTGATATTTTAAATAATTCTTCACATAATAATCATTTTTCTTTTAGGAATTTTCTTAGGGAATTCATTTAGTAGAGAATTTATTTATTTCTTTTTTCGGAATGTTTATGTTTTTTAAGGAAATAAATTAGAAGCAAATCATTTACCACATTCTATTCCATAGTCTATTCCAAATCATAAACTAATGGATTGGGCATTCATTTTTAACCTTCAACTTTGCAGATCAATTTTTACTAATTTCACTAAAAAAACAATATTATACTTTTCCTTACCTTTGGATCCAATATGCTGCGTTCCAGACTGTCTTCACGATTCATGGTTGTTGCAATGCTATTTCCATTGCTGCCACCACCGCCACCGCTACCGCTACCGCCACCACCGATACCGCAACTGTTGTATTGGTGATGCAGTTGCTGATGGCTTGATGCCTCCAATCTCAGGCGTGCACGTTCCACACGTGCCAGAGTTGGACTATCAAGAATGGAGGGGGCGCGTGATGGTGGGCGGGAATTATTTGCGCTTGGCAATGTTTGCGGTGATGGTTCCAATGTATTGCTGGTCGATGACGATGAGCCCGGCGTGGGTGCCGATGAAGATGTCGTTGTTGTTGTTGTATTTACAAGCATTTTGTTTATTTATTTTTACTTTATCTTTACTTTTTTTATGGTTTTTTTAATTATTATTGTATTTTTATAAAATACAATTTTATGGTTTATTTTTATTCAATATTTATTTGCTGCCATGCAGTTGACCATTGGAGATTATCACGGAAGAGTGAAATTTTATATAAAGAGTCCTTAACCCACACTTTTTGTTTATCAAAATTATTAAAAAAACATTAATTGCTGCATTCAAATTTGTGAATTTATTTATTTTATTTTATTTTATTTTATTTTATTTTAGCAATTTATTAAGCAGATGTATTAATTAATACTATTTGTTCTTAAAAAATTCTTTTAATTTTTTTAATTTTTTTTTTCACATCTCACTTGTAAATTTTAAATTAATTTATTTTAAAATTATTTTCTTTTTTTTTTATTTGTTGTAATTTAATAGTTTCTAATTTAATTTTTTTTTGATGCAAACAGAGACTTAAGTGCTAGTTTATTGGGCTGGACACTTTTTATAGAGAATATTGAAGCTCAGCACCTTTTCCGGAAATTGCCGGACGTCTATTTATTTTTCTTATTTTTTTTAATTATTGTATATTTTATGTAAACATGATATTATAGATGAGTATTATAGATGAGCTATTTCAGTTTTTATATTAACTTTTACTATATTTTTGTGATTTTAAATATTCTTTGTAATTTTCATTATTTGTTACAAAAAATTAATTAAATTTATAATTTTGTTTTTTAATTTCATTTTTATTTTCTTACTATGTTTTTAAAATTTTATACAAATTCAGAATCATATATTAAAAAATATAAGCCTTTTTGTGTTTAATATTTTTAATGAATTTTTTCTTTAATATTACATATATTTTGTAATGATTTTTTTGCTTTTTCTATTAAAAAAAGTTCTGAAGTTTTATTTTTTTTTAAATCAGATTATTTTTTTTTATAATTTTTTAAGCTTTGCTTGATATTTTTTGGCAAAAAGACTTTACCCTTTAAGAATTTTTCCTAGGATTTTTCGTAAAAAAATTAGGTTTTACCCATTACGAAGCGTGTGCCGTGGTTTCCTTCGCAGCTTTGAGTTCATATTCCACACTTTGCTGTGGTTTGCTTTCGAAGACAATTTTCGAATTTTTTTTTTAACTTTTATGTAAAATAACCCAAACACAATATTCACTCACATATTTATATTTGTTCTTAATTCTCCGCAAACGCAAAAAAGACAATAAAAATAACAACAAAACACATTTGAAACGCAATTCAGTGGCAACAGACGGGGCAGTGGCAGTTCATGCTTCTTGTGTTTCGTTTCTAACAAAAAGTAAACAATGTTTCGCTGGGAATGATACAAACCACATCAAACCGAACACGTGCACTACCTGGCAACGACTATTGTCTGCTACATTGCAAAAATTGTTACACACGACATCGAACTGGCGTCATGTAAAATATCTGCTGGGAAACGCTGCAGTTACGACATGGAGCGCAACATGTACTACATTTTTGAATCTTTTGCACTTGCCCTGCGACACCACTGGCTAGACTTTGTGAATACTTTGGCGCACACTGTTCCAGCTTACACAACCAAACTATTATATGCCGCCATCTCGAAAATAATACATGTTTGCAATGGAACATATAGTCTAGCCAGTGTAGAAGTCGAGTTTGAAGCAATTTCCCCTCATATGGCAACTACTCAACAAAAAAATTTGTAAGCAATATAAAAGAAGGGTATACAATTAATATTATTAATAATGAAATACTACACAATAATGTAAACAATAAATCAAAATAACAACAGTTAACTGTTAAGACCGTATTTTGATATCGTAACAATAAAATCCCACCTTTTATATGTGTAGACCGTACAACCAAAAATCGAATGCTACGTATTTTTAGATCGTATAATGTTTTCTGTTCGCTTGTTTTATTATGTATAATGTTGCGTATATTAATTATGTTTACATTTACTTTGCAACTTGTTTATAAGAATTTAAACTTTTATTGCTAAATGTTTTAGGTTTATCAACCATAAAAATGACTTGCCTTCTCTCTAATACTATATCAGTGTAATATGAAAGGGGGCAAAAAGACATTGGGTAATGTTTTGCATAGAAATCAAAGGAACCTCATTGCATAGGGCGAACCAACAGCGAAGAGAGATGAACTCATACATTTATTAGAGGCACAGTAAGATCAATGATAAATAAGCCACTGACAAAAGGATGGTGGTTTAAGTGAATAACTGATATTTACAGATAAGTTAGTATGTATTATATTTATCACTGATTCGAAATAATCATTGGCAGTCAAGAAAACATCAATGTTGTATCCTTACAACATTGCACTTAAGTGGAGCTTACTATTGAAGGCTCATCATGTTGAAAGATAAAGAAACAAGTATTGGTTACATCTTTATAACATGTAGCCGAATGTACATACATATATAGAATTTAAAAAACAGTAAGAAATTTGAAAAGTGATTGGGCACCACCAAGAATGCATTGACGTCAGAACAATTGCGTTCATAAGATTACGCT